TCGGGTTTCTGACGAGGCCTATTTTGGCAGTGTTGCGAAAGAAACTGTGGCCGAGATACGACATTTGTTCAGTCAGGACTTTGATCTTTTTGGGTACACGTAATTTTTATTATAAGATCATTTGGCAAATACTCTTCATTTTCTCTCATTTCTCTCTCCGCATAGTGATATAGAGAAGGGATCGTGCGCTGTCGTTTCGCTCCTTTTGGTATAGGAAGTCCTTGTTCCAAATATTGTTTCACTCAACAAATATCAAAGATACTACTATACATGGCATTACTGTATAGACTTGAATAGGTTGATAATTTTCATTCTCGAAAGGACGTGAGATTTTTAGATATATATATTTTTTAATGTTTAAATCATTGGAATACTAAACTCTTGGTATAGAACCATGATCTTGATATTGATAAAACTATTTGATTAAGCAATTACTCACGCTTTGCTACCTTGTCATCCGCTACAAGATCATAGCTACTACTACTCGCTTTAATATTAGTTAACCGTGTGTCCTCTCCTGTGTGTGATTTTATAAGTGCATCAGATATTGACCGCACCTGCTTTTGATTTTTCTGTTTGCAAATTGTAGTTGCACTATATTCTTTCTAATTCCTAAAAACTGAACGATGTGTCTGTGTATATTCTCTCTATCTATCTATCACACACACATATTTATACATAAAGATGGAAATATTGATAGATAACTTAATAGATGACATATAGATCAATAGATGAATATATCAATACACAGTAGAAACAAAATACGAAAACTTCGAAGTACAAAGTTTTCGTAAAAGAAATTATTCTTCCTTATATCATATAAAAAGGTCAAAGAAAACCATTAAACTACTTAATACGCAGTTATTTTCATATCAAAAGGAAAACGCCAAGGATGCTTCCAGTAGAATGTTAAAAGTACCTGAATAATCGTATTCTGTGACTTCGCATCGTATCCATTGTCACTTGTTTATCATTACGATTTTTGAGGTGTAGAGACGGCACCAAAATTAGTCTAGGGTGACATTTTATGAAAGAAATGAAGCAGTCGAATCAAAAGAAGGTGCAGAAAAGAAAATTCATGAATATTAGAAGGAGGGATTGTGGTTTTATTGCCTAAGAATAGACGTAATCAGGAATTTAGTGAATTTAAGCTTGGTATATTTCGGCAACACACACACACACATACGTTCTCGTCTTGCTGTCTTGCGTTCAACTCCCGCCCTGACAGTGGATGGCAACCCCGGCCATTCCTCGCACACAGGGGGTAGTTTAGAAACATAATAAACAGACAAACCACAATTTGGCTGATGTCACAAGAGCCTGTCCCACCAAACCCTAAATTATTATTACACACACATATATAAGCACAAACTCTCTTTTTCCTCACTCTCTCTCTCTCTCTCTCTCTCTCTCTCTCTCTCTCTCTCTCTCTCTCTCTCTCTCTCTCTCTCTCTCTCTCTCTCTCTCTCTCTCTCTCTCTCTCTCTCTCTCTCTCTCTCTCTCTCTCTTCTCTCTCTCTCTCTCTCTCTCTCTCTCTCTCTCTCTCTCTCTCTCTCTCTCTCTCTCTCTCTCTCCTCTTCTCTCTCTCTCTCTCTCTTCCTCTCTCTCCTCTCTCTCTTCTCTCTCTCTCTCTCTCTCTCTCTCTCTCTCTCTCTCTCTCTCTCTCTCTCTCTCTCTCTCTCTCCTCCTGGCTATATATATATATATATAGTTACTCTATTTTCAGTTTTTACTAATGACGGTTAAAATGTCGAGGTCATATTATCGCGACAGTAGTTACAGCGAGGACGCTCTCTCTCTCTCTCGTCTCAAAGGTCATGCAACATTTACTGGTCATTGCGCCGGAGGGTTAACACATTTTTTTCAGTCAGGTCGTTGGAGTTCAGAGTTTAAATAAAGGTTGACAGGAAAATATGACTTCACTTCACCTGAAGGTTTTTCTGGGACAAAACCATTGATTTCGAGCTCTTAGGATACGAAAAAGAATTGAAGTAAAATGTACATGTTTATTTTCTTAGGAAGAATATTTGTATACAATTTTAGTGTAAAACATTTCCATGAGACAATGTGACATTAATGTTAACAATTGAGAGTAGATCGCAGTTCCTAATATTAAGATGGAATAACTTTTTTTTCTTATGATTGTTATTGTAATTATCATCGTAATTATTGTTATTCTTATCATTAATATTATTATTTGATTACTCTGTCTCTTCCAGTTCCTTTTCGAGAAATTCCTTATCTGATAATCTAACATATTCTTACACACATACCTTACATTTCGAAATAGTTATAATGAATGGGGTTAAATACAAGTATGAGGGTAATACAGACACCAAATGGAGGCGATCAGGTAACAGGTCAAGAGGTATTAGTGGAGGACATGCAGCATATGCATATCATATTAAGACTTTTTCGGGACAAAATTCATATACATCCATTTGTTATTAAGTGTTATACGGAAAAAGATGTACATATTTCCCCTGTGACTCACCCTGTTGTCGGTGTTGCCAGTGAAGTGAACACTCACGTTACATTATTTTAATTTCAATTTTCGACTCTATCGAAAATCTTCAACATATACAAAGCATTTCATAAAGTTATTCCTACATACTTGTAGTAAGTGGAATCCCTGGAATGGAGTGGAATCCCCTGGAGTGGAATCCCCTAGGAGTGGAATCCCTTGGAGTGGAATCCCCTGGAGTGGGAGTGGTGGAGTGGAATCCTAGGAGTGGTGGAGTGGAATCCCCTAGGAGTGGAATCCCCTAGGAGTGGAATCCCTAGGAGTGGAAAGTGGAATCCCCCCTGGAGTGGATCCCCTGGAGTGGAATCCCCTGGAGTGGAATCCCCTTGGAGTGGAATCCCCGGAGTGGAATCCCCTTGGAGTGGAATCCCCTAGGAGTGGAAGAGTGGAATCCCCTTGGAGTGGAATCCCTGGAGTGGAATCCCTAGGAGTGGAATCCCCTTGGAGTGGAATCCCCTTGGAGTGGAATCCCTTGGAGTGGCTGGAGTGGAATCCCTGGAGTGGAATCCCTAGGAGTGGAATCCCTGGAGTGGAATCCCCTTGGAGTGGAATCCCCTGGAGTGGAATCCCGAGTGGAATCCCGGAGTGGAATCCCTTGGAGTGGAATCCCTTGGAGTGGAAATCCCTGGAGTGGAATCCCTAGGAGTGGTGGAGTGGAATCCCCTAGGAGTGGAATCCCCTGGAGTGGAATCCCTTGGAGTGAATCCCCCCTAGGAGTGGAATCCCCTGGAGTGGAATCCCCTTGGAGTGGAATCCCCTTGGAGTGGAATCCCTTGGAGTGGAATCCCTTGGAGTGGTGGAGTGGAATCCCCTAGGAGTGGAATCCCCTAGGAGTGGAATCCCCTTGGAGTGGAATCCCCTTGGAGTGGAATCCCCCCTTGGAGTGGAATGGAATCCCCTTGGAGTGGAATCCCTTGGAGTGGGAATCCCCTTGGAGTGGAATCCCCTAGGAGTGGAATCCCTTGGAGTGGAATCCCCTAGGAGTGGAATCCCCTTGGAGTGGAATCCCCTAGGAGTGGAATCCCTAGGAGTGGAATCCCCCTGGAGTGGGAGTGGGGAGTGGAATCCCCTAGGAGTGGAATCCCCTTGGAGTGAATCCCTTGGAGTGGAATCCCCTTGGAATCCCCTTGGAGTGGAATCCCCTTGGAGTGGAATCCCCTAGGAGTGGAATCCCCTAGGAGTGGAATCCCCTGGAGTGGGAGTGGAATCCCCTAATCCACTTGGCTGACGTAAATGGTAGGGATTCTGGGATCGCGGACAGGGAGTCGCAGGAACCCGCTGTTGGAAGGAAGGGAAATAGGACTCAAAGCTATAATTATGTGGGTCGTCGCTTCAGTTGGTTTGTCTTTCGGTTTGTCTGTCTGTCTCAGTCCGTCCTTTGGTTTATATGTCTTTTAGTCCATCTTTCCGTTTGTTTATCAGTGTTTCTCTGTCTGTATTTCTTTCTGTCTTTCCTTCTGTCAGTCAGTCAGTTTTATATGTTCATCTGTCCGTCAGTCTGTCTGTTTTACAGAGATTACAGATATTAATGTAAGAGCTCTTAGTCGACAAGAGTTATAATTTAAAATTCCATACAAAATCATTATATCGGTAAAAGAGAAAAAAAATATTGTTTTCTCAAAAGGAAAAAGCAGCAAAGAACACTCACAGAAAAAGGTAAGAAACAAACAGAAAAGAGCAAAAACAGTAAACTAGGGGAGACGAAAAAAAAAAAAAAAAACAATAACAACAACAGGAAATGAATAATAAAATACTAACAGAAGAGATCATACCGACAACGATAATGATCTTAACAACACAGATAACATCAATAACAAAAAAAAAAAAAAAAGAAAAAAAATAATAAAAAACGGATGATAAAGAAAGGAACAGACGAACTCCAAAGTAAACCTCCAGCCGAATTACCTGGTCCTGATCTCCCGCTCCTCCAGGTGTGCGATGGTGTCCGGGAGAGGCACGTGCAGCGTCTCCGGCAGGGCGAGCGTGGCCAGTCCCGCGAGCACCGACGCCGCCCGAACACTGCTGACGGCGCCCACGGGTACAAGGGGCCCTGGACCCGGAGGAACAGGAAGGAAAGAAAAGAGAGGGAGGTAGGAAGGAACAGAGAGAGCGTTATAAAAATCATAGAGATTTAAACAAAAAGCAAGAAGACTGTCATATCTTGCTGTCATGCAGTGATTGGTAAAAATCTAAAACACATCCAAGCTCATTCAAACTACTTACATAATATTCCCTTCCCATAAAAAATAATAATAACATTCACCATGATTTATTCCTGTAAAAATAAGAAAATAAGAAAAGAAAAAAAAGAAAGAAAAGAAGAAGAAAAAACTTACCAAGTAGTCCGTGATGAAAGGCGAACAAGTAGACCCCACCCTTGACATGACAAGGGCTGTGCTCATGCCCCTCGTCCTAACCTCGGTGGGAAAGAGCTCTGAGGAGTAAAAGTCGAGGATCTGGAAGGCCGAAGCGATACTCATCTTCCCATAAGGGCTAAGGTCATCGATTCCCCACTACCTGAGAGGAAAATTAAATATTATTTTAGTTCCCCTTTTAATTCTAAAAATAACGTTTTCTATTATATTATTTTTGAAGGGTAATTTAAGCTAAATGTTTTACTTTCCTGTTTTGATTGTCAGGGAAACTTCTTGGTATTGACTGAAGACATGTTTGTAGACAGTAAATTCCTAATTTTGTTTGGCATAAGAAACAACACGAACAAAAAAACAAGATGAGAAGAAGGAAATCATGCTTTCATTTTTCTCAGATTTTTCATTATGAAACCTTATACATATTCATGAAACAAAACCTCCACCCCAGACAACTCACTCACCCGTGGGCACGAAGGGCAGTGCGAGAAGAGCCACGGCGCCCATGAAGAAGAAGGCGACAACGGGAGCCCTCCTGCCGTAGCGAGCCACCAGGGGGATGACCAGCGTGTAGGCCGGCAGCTCCACGACCCCCGTCAGCACCATGTACAGGAACGGGTCGGAGCTCAGGTCGCCGCCGCTGAGCGAGAGGCCGAAGTACACAGCACCCACCAGTAGGTAGTTGGTGTACAGGCTGAGGGTGATGGTGCGAAGGCGGGGGGTTCTGTTGGGTGAGGGGGCGAGGGTGTGAGGGGGTGTGGGGGAGTGGTGGAGAAGCAAAATGAGTATCGTCTTTGTAGGAGGATATATTGTCTTTACTATCATTGTCATCTTCGTTAATTTTATCACTATTACTAATACCATTCATATTGCTCTTATAATCAAATAATTCTGTGGGTTTGAGACTACATCCTCTGCACGCTTTCAGTAACCGACATAGCGAAATATGTCAGAGAAATTGCAATATTTCCACGAAATCAAAATATACAGACAAGATATACAAGATTTTTCATTCATATAAAGAATCGTATGATATATTTCAGCAATGTATAAGGAAAGTTTGGCAGAAGGAAGAGGAGGAGGAGGAGGAGGAGGACGATGAGGAAGGAATGAAGAAGGATAAGGAGGAGGAGGAGGAATAGAAAAGAGAATAGGAGGAGAGGAAGGGGAGGGAGGAAGAGGGAAAAGTGGACCTGCCTGAAAAGAATAAATGCTTCATCCAAACGCCTTCTGAACCAGCTCTCGCGGTGTGGCGCGGGCGTCTTGGTGCGGGCGTACCATTGCCTACGTCACGGGATCAAGTGATAAAAGAAATACAATAAATAAAAGGATTATGAACCAGGATTATTCTTCTGTCTTGTATTGTATATTCAGAAGCATGATGAGTGACAGGATTTATATTTCGAGGAAAATTGATAAAAAAATGTATATAAAACACACACACACACACACACACACACACACACACACACACACACACACACACACACACACACACACATATATATATATATATATATATATATATATATATATATATATATATATGATAAAGTGTGTTCCTTTTACACATGCGCACAAGCACGCGCTCGCACCTCGTCCTTGACTCCGTCCTTGAGCAGGAGCAGAAGCTCGTCCTCGGGGGGAGGGCGACCCCGTTCCACCTGGCGGCCCTCTGCAGCACTCGGAGGGCGCGCCGGTGCTGCCCCCTCACGGCCAGCCACCGAGGCGACTCGTCCATGAACCTAATAGGATAATCCCCCGACAGAGGAGGCGGATGATAGAAAGAGAAGCGGCTGGATGATGGAGGATGGATGGGAAGAGAAGGTTAAGGAAAAGGAGAAGACATTGACGAAGGAAGGAGTTCAGGTCTATCACACAGGGACTAGAGAGAGAGAGAGAGAGACAGACTGAAACAGACAGACAGACAGACAGAGAAAGAGATAAATAGATAGTGAGAGATAGACACAGATATCGAAAGTTGTATCACAGAAATCTCATCGAAACTTACCACAGAGTAGGCAAGAAGGCCAGACACAGCAAAGACACGGTCAGCTGAAGCATCCGCCATTCCCGGACGAGGTAAGCGAACCCGCCCCACGCCATGAGACTAAGCGCCCATGGCAGAAACAATGCAATGCCGATATGCGTGCGCCACTTGGGATCCGCGACCTCCATGCCTGCGAAAATTGATAACGCTCTAATGGTTTTGTACTTTCTCTCTTTCTACCTCTATCTCTCTCTCTATCTCTCTCTCTCTCTCTCTCTCTCTCTCTCTCTCTCTCTCTCCTCTCTCTCCACCTTCCTCATCGTTATTGCCATCTGTATCTCTGTCCACTGCCTTTCCTATACCTTCTCCCTCTTTCTCTACCTGTTCCTTTTCCCTTGCCTTCTCCCTCCTCCGCCACCCCTCACCTAGTATATATCCCGTCTTCAGTATCGTGGGGTCGACGGCGCCCATGAGAAAGCGCGAGAGCAGGAGAGCCGAGAGGTTGGGGATCCAGCAGGAGCCGATGGCCAGGGCGGAGTAGGCGACAAAACCCACGGCCATGGTCATCTTGCGCCCGTACCTGTTTAATGGTAGAATTTTAAGTTATTTAGGATTCTATATCCCTAAGATGAATTTTAGGTTAGTGATACTCGTTTTATAGTATAAGCTGCTGACATTAGATTTTCCAATTCTTAGAAGAGAAAGTATGGCTATGCAAAACAGACTAGATATGTGGATATACGAAAATTCACTTTTTAATAAAAAAATATCCTTAATGTAGAAAAGGTTTGGTTATAGCTTTTAAAACATGGTCCCAGTTATGTTTATACTCTGATTATAATTATTGCAATTATGGATAGGCACAAAAAGGCCTAAGAACTATAAACCTGGACTCCTGTTATGATATAGCATATAAAAACAAGTTTAACCAAACGCAACTCATCTTTCGCTTTAGGGGGGGGGGGGTATAAATAGGGTTTCAGACCTAAACGCGTTGCCAAAGAAAAAAAAAAACGTTAGTCATGTGGTTAGAGATTAGTAGACAAAACTACGAACCAGTTATTTTTTTTATTGCCAGTTAGTCAAAAATACGTAAAGTTTCGCGATATTTTTCATTTATTAGATTTTCCGCCCGTTTCTTAACGTTTCTCGGAGTATTGTGAGAATTATGAATGTCTGTATCTATGGGAATGAGAAATCTTAGACACACACACAAACACACACACATACATATATACACAATCTTACACGCGCACATACAAATAAATACCGAGAAACATACAGTAACACAAAAAGACGAAAGAAAGGAGATAAAAAAAAAAAAAGCCGAACACATTAACCCCAAACAGCAAAGGACAAGAACCCCCCCCCACCCACCACCACCAGGCCGTTCCCAAACGAGAGCCGCTCACCTGTCGGCCAGAACCCCGTTGAACGGCGCCCCGATCGTGACGCCGAACATGTAGATGCTTTGGTACGTCGAGCGAAGG